AGACACTTGGAGTCCTCCTGCCTCTCACTCTTCCCTAGTCCCTGGTGATGCCCTGCTCGGATGGTGTGGGCCTCCTTGGGTACCACAGATTCCTGGGGGCTCCTTCAGGACCCACATGATCCAGGTTTGCTGGCCCTCGACCTCTGACCCCCTAGGAGATGTGGTGGGCTCTGTCCTCTGCTGCTTCTTCCCCATCCACCCTGGACTCTCTGCCCCCAGGCACCAAGCCCCTGAGGTTCAGGGCAGGGTCTGGTGCCTCCCCGGGCCCCAGCACTGAACCCTGGGAAAACAGTTCTGAATGAAGAGGTGCAATCAGTGATGATGGGAAGAGTGAGGGTGGTCCAGCTGGGTTTGTGGTCTTACGTACGGGGCAGGGGAGCAGGGCTGACACAGACCAGCTGTGTGGGTGGGAGAGTGGTTTCCCCTGGTGAGGGCCAGGTTTGACAGAGATGTTCCTGACTCTGGTTGAGTTGAGAAGTGGTGAGAGAGGGAAGAGAACAAAGGGTTTATGGGGGCCTCTGTCTCAGCAACAAAAGGGGAGCAGGCACTTTCCTTCCAGATCAGAAGCCAGGACGTCTCATGATTCATCTGCCTTGGCCCTAGAGGTGGGGAGGGATGTGAGAAGGGGACCTGGACCAAATGCCCTCCAACTGGCACCTTGGACTTGGACCACTCAGGAGTCCGACCATTATCCATCAAAAGCTGGTCTTCCAGGACCTTGCCAAGGTGGAACAGTCTTAAATACCCAGACCCGGTGCTCTGCCTGGTCCCTGCAAAGGACGCGAGCAGGCCCTCTGGGAGCCCGGCGCCCTGCGCCCAGCTCAGGCCGTGAAGCAAATGTGGCTGCGGGAGAGGCACGTGGGCAACCTACGGCGGGCGCGCTCGTCTTACAGAAGACCCTCTCGGAGCTGTCCCCGCCACCCGCACACTGACCCTTTGCTCGGCCTGGGCGCGTGGGGCGGCGCGGGCGCTACGTGTGTCCCGAGGGCTCCGTGTCCAGGCTCCTCCCGGGCCAGGGCCCGGCTACGTGCGCCCGGACCCGTCAGGGAAGGGCGGTCCGCTCGCAGGGCTGGGAGACAGGCTCGGCCCAGGTCATACCACTGCGCCCGGGGGGGGGCGGCCCCGCGCGCAGACCTGCCGGACTGCGGGGAGGCTTGCGCCCGGGACCCCAGCCCGGAGGGAGCCTGGGCACTACCACCGCGCGCCGGGGGGAAGCCGCCTCGGGTCGTACCACCGCCTCGGGCGGGCGGGGGACGCGACCCGGCGAGGACCGCACCATGCGCCCCGGGCGGGGGAGCCGGCGCCCGCAGCC